ATATTTAGAGCAGCATTTCTATCAGCTTTGTGGTTTTCTGAGCTTTGGCCAGAATCTCCCATCACGTTCAGCTTTCAGCATTCCAGAGTTGCTTCTCCAGCAAGCATCTCTAAACCTTCCCAAATTGTTTCCACAGGCCAATTCCAAAGACTCCTGAAGCACATAGCTGGATAACATCACAATAACAACCCTACTTCTTTAGTACCAAAAACTATGTGTCAGTGCTTACTAGAAAAACAGATTTTGTGTAAGATTCACAAATATATAAAGATTTTTAAGATATTCTTATTCTTAAGAATTTTAAGATATTCACAAATATATAAAGTTCTTAAGATATTCTTTAAGATTATCTTACAGTGGCTGCCTGCAGAATGAAATGTGGAATAGTACAAAAGGGCTGTCTCCTTGCTGGAGGATCTGTTTGAATGAAGGCTTGGAACTCACTGTAGTGTTGCCCGTGAGTCCATATCAGAAGGCCAAAGGATCTGCAATGGAAGAATGAAGAGTGCTAGAAGCCAGGAGATGATGGGCAAGCTGAAAGTGAAGACTGTAGCTCTCTTGAAGAAATAGAAGTCAGCCTTCATTTCTCTTTTATTCCATTCAGGTGAAAAATCTACCCAAGATGGATCTTCTGTCTTCAGTAAATCACTTCAACCCACACCTATGTGATGCAATGTAGTTGGGTGTTTCTTACTCAGACACAATCAGTTAACTATCACAAATGCCTATTCCTTCCTCTCTGCCTGTTCCCAACCCATTAAGAAGGGGAAAGGAAAAAAAAAGCAAAACCATGTTTTCTTTTTCTTTTGGGTTTTTTTTTTCCTGTGTAGGAGCATTAAGTCTGAAAGTGCAGTTCTAAATTAAAAACGTTTGTTTTTCTTAGTGATGACACTGGCTGAAATAAATTACTGGTTATAAATAAAGAAAAGAAAATTATCTTAGACCATTGAAGCTCGAACTTCAATCACAATCACCTGGAGAACTTTTCTGACACATACTTCTAGGCCTACCCCACAGATTCCACAGTCCTGCCATAAGAGGAGAATAGCCAACAACTTCCAGGTAGTGCAGCTGGTGTCGGACTAGGCACCACAAGTTTCATAACTTGCACTTTAGTTAACATCAACCAGAAGTCAGATGATTTTATTAATGAGTTGCTTGGGTCCCAAGACTTTACATAGCCAAGTAGCCTACACTTAGAAAGTGTTGTACATACCTAGGTAAAGAACTTGCGCAATAGTATTTTTTTTAACACTATGTCTTTCTATACTCCAGAAATGTCTGTTAAGATATTTGCTTTCAACCTCAAATTTTTTTAAAAAATAGATTCAACTCACAAATAGTTAAACTTGAATGGTTTCAATTCTTCACCCTACACCTGCCAGTGATAACTTCATTTCTGTACTACTGTGCATCTTTTCATCTTGAGCTCACTTAATTTTTTTAATATAATTTTACATCCCAACATATGTTGCTTATCTTACATTGATAATTGTGTTTTGTTTTTCTGTACCCATATAAAATTGACATTTGGATTTTTTTTTTTTTTTTTTTTTTTGTGGTCACAGGCAAACAGTTTTTGTAGACTTGACTCCTTGGTTTCTCTGTAGGAACATTTGAATTGCCATTACCTAACTGATCCTTAGCAGCTCCTGAAACAGGTTTGGAAAAGGTGAAATGCTTTTTCCCAAACGTTTATAAGCCATTTTTCTTTGTTAAAGAAAGTAGTTTTTTAAATGAAAAAAACTTGAAACATACTAATCAGTACTATATTAGATAGTTTCCCATTGCTGGGACAAAATACTTGATACCTGTAATTTAAAGGAGGAGAGGTTTATTTCAGCTCACAGACTTCCGGCTATGATCAACTGGCTCTAGGGTAGAAAAATCATGGCAGAAGATCATGGTGTGGGCCGACCTGTGTACCTTATGGTATCTAGAAAGTAGAGCCCAAGAGAAAGGGGCCAGGAACCCAAGGACATGCTCCCATGACTCACCCAGACATACTCAGAAATATGTTTTAGTAAATTTTTGTGTCTCAAGTTAATCAAGTAGATAATCAATATTAACCATCATACACTGAGAGGCTAAAGCAGGAGGATCACAAGCTTGAGGCCGATCTAGGCAATTTTGCAACTTTTTGAGACTGTTTCAAAAATGTTTTAGCAAAGGCTGGGAAGGTAAAGTCACTGGGTTCAGTCTCCAGTACTCCCCCCTTCCAAAAGAAAAGATTAACCATGACAATTACAGAACTCTTTTTTTTCTTTTGTCTTTTTGAGACAAGGTCTCACTGTTGGCAACAGGCTGGCTTTGAGCTCACTTTATAATCCAGGCTGGTTTCAAACTCTCAAGGATCCTCCTGCCTCAGCCTTTCTTTTTTTTTTTGTTTGTTTGTTTTAAAATTTTTTTAAAATTTTATTTAAAAGGAAAAAGAGAAAAAACAAAACAAAACAAAGCGGTGTAAGGGTACAAGTAATACAGAACTACCAAAAAAAAAAAAAAAAAAAAAAAACCAGTAAGAAATCACCAGTTAATAGATTACATATTATCATTTTAGAGATAGTTGCTCAAGTCACAGTATCAAAGCATACAAAGTGGACATTCAAACTGTGAGACTGCAAACAGTTGTGTTCAATGATCCAACCAAAAACAATATGGTCAGCTATTTAACACCCCTAAACACACTTGCTGTTGTATCCTTTAGAGCACTTTTTGCCTCAGCCTTTCAAGTACTAGGATTACAGGCATGTGCCACCACACCAGGGTAGAATTCTTCCTACATACATATCTCTCTGTGGATTTAAATCACCAGTAGGCAGGAAAAAAATATTGACAGTTTTAAGGCTTGGTTTTTTTAAACGGATTTCTCCATTTTTTAAAATGGATTTGTGAACAGGCTTACCAAACTAGTACCTTGTTAAAACCAGTAGATGGTGTTGCTCTTTTTTTCTTTTTCCAGGAATTTGATCTGCAACTTTCTTGTTAGTATAGAAATTCCGGAACAGCTCCATGCAAGTGTGATTGTGTCAGCATCCTTCCTTGAGCAACTGTCATGATCAAATTAAAAGACTGTTGATAACTTTTTCATCCTAACATTTTTTTCTTATGTATGTCAGTTGTGTTAATAATTTACATCTTCACTTCAGATTCTTACTAATATACTAAATTAAAAACTATCCATTTATGTAGGTTACTGTAATTGTAGTTACTAGTTCTTCTTTTTTGCAGTTTTGTAACTTTTTTGACAGTCATTGGCTCATTCTTACCTATATTGACGGCAGATTTTCTTTGTAAACGTTAGGTGTATAAATTACTCAAAGCTTGTTTGGTGAATCTTCGTTCTCACTATGTTTTCTGAATAACCATACATGTGTACAAAACGGAACTTCCCTTCATTCCTTTGGCCCAGACAGCTTTGTGGGCATGATATCAATGTGTGTATCTGGAGTACTTAATTCCTTTCATAATAAATATCTCGATTGCTAAGTGCCTGAGTGGTAGGTACATTTGTGAAGGCCACTCCACAATGTAATTCTGGAAGTTATAGTGTGTTTTGGGGTTAACACATTGTTGGTGGCAGGAGAGCCACTTTCTTTGTGGCAACTACCATTCTCCCAGGCACAAATTGAAAAGGAAGAATGTGAAGGGTTGGGAGAAAGGGTATGCCATCCATATCTGAATGTATCACCCATATAATTTATACAACTATTTATAGCTTTATGTGAATGCCAGTGAGGTAAGTTCAACTACTATCCAATTGCTCATAATTTCTACTTCATAAATTATTTGCTATTTTGCTTTTGTATGCCAACCTTTCCTGTTACTCTGGCATTATATGGCTATATTTGCCCTGATTATTCCTTTATATTCTCTGCTTGAGTACTTCCTTGAGTTTCTTGGGCAGTGAGTGATACTTCATTAAAGCATTTGAGTATAGGTAGAATAATATAATTAGATAATTTTTTGTTTAAAATACATGAGTGATACTTTCTAAAATTGATCTAGAATGTCTACTTTGATACCTTCTGGTTTTCTGGATGCCTAATTTGGAGAAAAGAAAAAAAATCTAGAATTTGGAATAACTCATTTTGCTGAATACTTCACTAATAAATAAAGTGCTCAAAAATGTGTACCATTTCAAATACATGAGTTAATATCCAGTACATTTTGCCATGCAGACAGTACTAGTTTAAAATTATCTAGCTTAATAAGAACATTAAACTGATTATAATAGGTCATTAGGATTTGTACTAATTACAGTTCTTATTGTTTCCATGGTACATAAATTGAATGTTAATATGCCTCTAGAAGGAAATTTAAGAAACAGGTTGGGATACTGCGTTGGTTTAAAAATCCAAACTTCTAGGCATCAAGCCCAGACTTGAAAGCCAATTTAGCAGCTGAGTAACCTTAGGCAAGTTTGTTAACATTTGTTTTCTCATTTGAAAATCAGAATACAATCAGTTTGTGAAATAACGTGAGATTCTGTATATAAACTATATCCACTGATGGAGAACCTTTTAGAGTTTTCAGAAATAACAAACAGCCCACTGTGGCATACATGCCATAGGTTTGCCACCACTGCTACCACAGTGCATAGCATGTGTTACAGTGATTGTTAATTAACAATTTAGTGTAAAAGTAGCAGTGTTAGTATTTATTGCTATGTATAAATGTAAACACTACTGCAAGGGTGTCTGCTATGTCACAGTATTATTTTTCCAACTAAAGTCTGTATAGGATCTGACACTGGAACTCCAGGTACCAGATAAGAATGTACTAAAGGGAAAAGAAAGAAAAGCATACTGAGAAAAGAAGGGTGTAAGACAAAAGGAACAGAGACATGGAAACAGAGACATGGAAAAAACAGATTCCTTTTCCTTTTCTGCCTCAAAGTAGAGGCAGAAATCAGGAGTTAATAAAAGCATAAAAAAGACAAAAAAGATTACTTTGAAGACACTTCTGACCATAATTTTCTACATATTTCTGTCTTTTTACAGGTATTCCTTTATTATTTTTCATGTGTGGACTGAGTCCTGATCATAACTGTACGGTATTAGGTGCCATTGAAGAGTGGTAAGTATTTCAAATAATGACTTTGCTTCTATTTATGGTACTAGTTTTTTAACATCAGGAAAATACTTCTACTATACAATTGATTACTAAATAATTTAGTAGTTAAAAAGACATGTAAATATTTTATCATACATTGGAATACTTTCAAAGAATACATTTATCTTGGTGCTAAATACTGGGTATTATCTTAGTCTTTTCATATTGCTATACAAAATACCCTAATTTATTTCTCATACTTATCGAGGCTGCAAAATTCAAGATCAAATAGAAGCAGATTCTGTGTGTGATCAGACCCTGCATCTCACAGATTATATATTTTCACTGCATCCTCACATGGCAGAGGCTCCTGTGGGCCTCTTTAGTAAGACACTAATCCCATTTATGAGAGTTCTGCTCTCAAGATCTAATTCCCTGGTAAATTCCTTACCTTATAATATCATCATATTGATAGTTACATTTTGAAATACGAATTTGAAAGGATACAAACATTGAAATCCTAGTAAGTACTTAAATTTTTAAGGAACTATACTTTGTGCTGGAAATTGAAAAGCGGGGAAAGAAGAATCAATGGGAAGCAGTGTACTACACAAAATTGACCCAAATTTGGCCTAAATTTTGAACTTTTTAGTAATTTTCAAAATAAGAAACCAATATGGCATTCAGAGTTAGAAATTGCCCTTGAAACAGTACATATAAATTTTGATTTTCGTAGTAGGTTGGTTGATTGCTTGGTTGGTTTTTAGGTAGTGTCTCAGTAGTAGTTCAGGCTGGCCTGGAACTCAGTGTATACTCCAGGGTGACCTTGAATTCACCGTGACCCTGCTGCCTTAACCTCCCAAGTGTTGGAGTTATAGTCATGCGCAACTACCCCTGGCTCATTTTGGAGACAGAGTCTTGCTGTGTAGTTAAGCTTGAATTCACTGTGTCTCCCAAGGCAGGCCTTATACTAGAAGCAGTCCTTCTGCCTCTAGCCTCCTGTGTGTTGTAATTACACAGGTATGCACCTGTACCCCTAAGAAAGTAAATTATTTTGTTGTACCCAAAATTGATTTATTTATCAAAATAAAATACTTTTAAACATATAAAATTGCAAAATAATTTTTTTCAATAAAAATATCTATATGGGATTATATCAGTGTGTAATGACATGAAAAAACAATGTTTAATCACTTTTAGTCCATTTTAAAATCACCTTATTGAATGATACATCATGAAATCAATAGTTGTACAGCTAGGAAATTTACCAGTAGAGCTCTCTTCTACTGGTGTGTATATTTTAATCTGTTTCATGCATGTATTCCTTCCATTTTGGTGATTGACTAGAATAGCAGTTTGTATCATGAATGTGTGATAGCTTCTTATGATTATTAGTTAAGGAAATGTGAATCCAACCACTTTGTCCTACCAATTCAAGATGCCAAATTTATTGAAGATTATGAAAATTATTTCATACTCTGATTGAAATCTTGCTTGGTTTGTAGCTTTCATCTGACTTGTAGTCTGCATAAATACATAGTCTTCTCTGTTATTTTTCTTGTGAACTAAATGAGGCTGAATATTCACTAAATGATTGCCAATAAATTTCTAGATTGTTATCTCATAACTAATCCACTCTAAATCCTGGTTTGCAAGATGAGAATGACCAAACAGCTTGTGTCCCAGTTTTCCCTTTTCCAGTTCTTTCCAACTGCTTAGGGTTAGCACCAGGAGGAGTCTTGTTTACTGTGGTCAGTTTTTAAATACTAGCTTGCAGTCTCAGGTTCTCAGGGACCTTGGCAGATGTGCGCCACTCCCACTCAGCCTCTTAGCCCTGCCTGGCTTCCCCAGTGACTTATATTGAGAATTGCAACACAATGATGTTGTGTGTATTTTGTAGTCAGTTTTTTGTTTTTACAATTCTTAGTCAAAAGTGGTATTGCCATATTCAGTCACCTGCACAGTAATTGGATTAGTTTTAAACATTTGATTGATTCTAAAAATGAAATTCACTCTAAGAGAATGGAAATTGGACCCACTGTTGACATATAAAAATGTGCCCTGGTCCTGGAGGAAATAAATTTTCTCGGCCATTTGCAAGTTAAAGGAAAATTTTTAATTATGAAGCTATCAAGCTATTAATGCATCAAGTTACACACAATCTGCAGTTTGTTGAATATGCTTGTATGTGGAACCATAGGGGAAAAAATGTGAATAAATGGAGCATGGAAGTACTAGAAAAAAGGGGTAGGTATAAGAAGAGCAAAATATTTCACAGTTTGTGGTAAAACTTTAAGCGTCACTGAAGCACAGATGATTATAAGAGTAAGGCTTACAGCAGATATGCACCTAGTGATTGGCAGTTATGACAAGAAACTTATGTCTGCTGACTTCTTATATGGAATCCTCTCCTACAATATCATAGATTAGTGATGGTGAACCAGAGCTTTCAGTGCTAACAACAGCTGGCTGTAGCACGCATGCTATAGGTTCACCACCACTGTCACAGATCTTTGCAAAGTTTTTTCCAATATAATTTTATTGAGGTAGTTTGGAGGGGAAATGAAAAATTGAGTTAAGTAATGAGAACAAATTTTAATTAAACCTTAATTCCTTCTCACTGAGTGGGCCTGAGAATTTAGACTTTCTTCACATTTTAACTGGTCTCTATGACCACTTCTAGACTTTGCTTGCCTTGGGGGAAACTTGCTTTTATATTTTCCTTAATAGAGTTGTCAGATCTGAGAAAATCTTTGTTTAGTAGCACTCCATTTGCTGCATTTACCCCAGTGTAACCCAGAGTTCATGGTAGTAGTTGTACTATAACTTTCTAACAGTTTAAAGATAAAGTGCATTCTAATACATGAGGCTTTCTTTAGATATGTCATTTCTCAGGAAATAGTTGATATAAATACTAATTTTTAAGTATAATACAGTTCTCATTTGTCTAAATATTTTAAATGTAAGCATAATAAGTATCAACAGAGTGAGGATATTCTCTTGGGAGTTTTCTTGAATTTTTTAAAAGCTGTTCCTTGTTTCCTGGTAGTGAGTCATGTTAACTACTGAAATTACAGCGTGGTCCTTATATGTATTTGTCCCTGAATCACAATACTGTAATGCCTTCCAGAAAATAGAATTCAGTGTAATGCTCATTCTCTCCAAAAGGATTTGCTCATCTCCACATGCCACTATTTGTAAAAGATTCTGAAATTTGGCAGTGGCAAAATAAACAAGATGAATGGAAAAGAAATCAAATAATAATGAGGGAACTCCCTGGGGTCTTCTTTTTAATAAGAGCACTAATTCCATTCATAAAGGTACTGTATGTCAAAACCTAATCACCTCCCTAAGGGTCTGATAATTCCTAATGGCCATTTTAAGTAAAATTAAAACCAGAAAACTACTCTGTGTCTTTTCCTCTTGTGTTTCCAATTTTCTGGTAATTTAAAACAGAATAGAGATGACCTATAAACATTTTTTACTTCTACTTTGTGTGATGAGACTGCAATTGAAGTTGGAGAAAAAAATGCTGATTGTTAATCTACATTTAGACATTCTAGATGTTCTTATATTTTACCAAGTTTTACCACATCTATAGCTAACCTTGTTAAAGGATTTGAGAGAATGAAGGGTAGACCTCAGAGGTCACTACAGTGAATTTGAACTTTTAAGTGTTTATACAGTGTTGATGTGTAAACCATTAAATAACATGCACGTTTATATAACAGGATCATAATGACTTTATTTATATTGAATCTGAAATCAGTAAGGAAAAATGATTTGATGTTCAACCAGATGTTTCTGACTGGGCCAACAAGATTAACAGCATTTTTTAAAGTCAGATAAGAGTAGTAGTTTTAACAGATGAATTTTGCTGATAACAGTTTAGAGGCATCATCTGACCCTTAAAAAAGCTTAATTTCAAACTTTGAGTCCATGAAAAAAAAACGAGTGTATTATTTTAACTTCTTCTTAACCCGTGTCACTAGTTCAACAGACATATACTGATAATCAGTTTGTGCAAGATTATATATTAATCTGAAGCATTATTTCTTGTACTTTTGAAGGCTGAGAAGCCTTAAGATCAAACTGCTGGCAGATTGACTATCTGGCAAGGGACTCCTTCCTAATCCATAGACAGCTGCCTTTCTGCTCTGTCCTGACAAGATGGAAAGAATGAGGGAACTCCCTGGGGTCTTCTTTTTAATAAGAGCACTAATTCCATTCATAAAGGTACTGTATGTCAAAACCTAATCACCTCCCTAAGGGCCCTACCTCCAAATAACTCCTTATTTTTCTCAACCAGTTTTTAATTCTCACATTTAGGCCTTTGATCTGTTTTGAGTTAATATTACACATAGAGTAAGGATCCAAAATCTTTTTTGTTTCTAAATCATTCTTTTTACATGAGTATCTGACACTATTTGTTGCAAAGACTGTCCTCCCAGTAAGTGGTCTTGACACCCTTATGAAACATTTTACATTTATGTGAGAGTTTATTTTTGGTGTCTTTATTCTAATGCATTGATCTAGTGTTTGTATGCATACCAGACTCCAAAGAACGTGAGTATGGAAGTGAATGAATAAATGATATGTATATCTCAGTCATATAGAATCAAAGTATTATAAGCAAAAGATGACAGAATAAAGAATCAGATTTATACAACTTAACAGTTTAGGAATTACTGAATATGTATTTTTTAAAGAAATGAGATGTGATTTAAAATATGGAAAGTAAGAAAAATGTTTAAAGAGCCAAATAGAGTTCTTACAAAAGAATAAAGTAGTAATCAAAATTAAAAACTCAGTAAACTAGCAGAGCTTAGGTACAGCTGGAGTCAGTGGACTTGATATTAGATAGGAATTGATTTATGGTGTAATGAAAGGTGAGTAGCCTCGATAGGATACACAGGACAGAAAGATGATTGCTTGCTGTTGCTGCCGTACTGCCGTCTGCCTGCCATGAGCTGTTACTCCTCTGCCATGCAACCCAGATTTGGAGCCAACAACTATGAACTGAAACCTCTACAAACTATTAGCTACAGTAAACCTTGCCTCCATTAATTTTGAGTGTCAGGTATTTTGTGTCAGCCTCAAGAGAATATAATTAAGACAGCATAACTGAGAGATAGCTATAAAAACCATGATTATGAAGTCATAGAAGACTGACTGCATTGTTTCAATAACAGGTTGGTCAGAACTTCAGACCCAGAGAAGCCCAGGTGTATGAGGAACCAGACGTTTGCTTTTGAGATGAAGTGATTGATGTAGGGTTACTGGTGATTTTGAAGATTGCTGTTTAGATAGAGTAATGGGAGTTAAAAGTGAAAGTATACTGAAGAGGGAGAAGAATTGAGCTAGGCAAAGGCAAAGGTGCCTCTGGTAAAATTTTATGTTTTTGAATGATCATGTTTGAGCCAGTTTAAATATAGAAAAATACAGAGAAAAGATTTAGTATACAGAAATCATGGAGGCAATGGGGATAGTATAAAAGAAAAAGCCCTGAAATGGAAATCATGAGACTTAGTTTTTATTTAAAACCAACTCTTTGATATTTAAGTGGCTTCATCTATAAAAGAGTTGACAAACTTTCTGTAAAGGGCTAGATTGGTTAATATTTTAATCATTGTAGATCTAATGGCCTATTCCATACTTCATCTGTGCTTTTCTAACAGGAAAGTAACCTTACTACAGTAGGTAAGTGAAGGGGCAAGGTTTTGTGTCAGTTAAACTTGCTATAGATACTGAAATTTGAATTTCATGTAATTATGTGACATGAAATTCTTTTTTTTGTTGTTTTATTTTTATTTTGTCTTTTTGAGACAGGGTCTTGCTATGCAATTCAGACTAGCCTAGAACTCACTTTGTAGTTCAGTCTGGCCTCTAATTCACGGTGAACCCCTTACCTCAGCCTCCAGAGAGTTCTGGAGGCTGGGATTACAGGCATGTGTCACTGCATCCATCAAAATACTCTTTTTTGAAGTCATTGAAATACGTAAAGATTATTCTTACCTTGTGGATGTTACAGAAACAGGAGGGAAACTGGATTTCGCCCACAGCCTATACTGTAGTTTACCAGTTCCCCATTAAAAAGTTGAAGGACTTTCCATCTCTCCGTTCTGGTTGTTTTTGTTTTGTTTTGGTACCTGGGATCAAACTCATGACCTCTACTTGCCAGGTGCAGGTGCTTGTGCTGCTGAACTAAATCCTTAGCCCTCCATTTTGTAGTCTTAACTGAGAAATTCTTCACTTATTCTAAGTACTTTTATAGTTTATCACCTATATACAACCTGATTTAACCTTGTATGTAATAAGAGATAATTGTCTGTCTCAGTCATTGAGAACTTTGCAGAAGAACCTCAGAATTTGTTTTGTAACTAGAGGTCCAAGAGTGTCTTCTCTGCAACAGAATTCTATCTTTCGCAAGATAACTAGAAGAGGGATGCTTTTGCTATAACCCATCATTTTATTTTGTTTAATATTTTTAATTATATTTTAAAAAATATATTTGGGGATTGAATGTAAATGGAAAACAACATTATTTGCCACAAAAGGAATTGCAAAAAATTAAAACAGAACCGTGTTATTTGCTAGAAGGCCTAGAAACTGATACATTTTGTTCATCTTGTGAATAGAACATTACTAAAATTCCAGAAACATTAAAATTAAGAGAATTATGTGAAAGTTTGAAAGGAAACTGATGACAGCTTTGTATATCAAAATAATCTTGAGTAATTACAGGTGTTAGAATGCTTTTTCAGAACTGATGCCAGTTAATATTTATTAAGAAAACTGCAATTAATTTTAGTTAAAATAATTGTTTTAATATGAAAAGCTTTTTGATAGTAGAAGATTTGTAAATTTTTTTTCTAAATAATCTCATCTATAACTGGTGCTTTAGAGAATTCAAATTCCTGATTTTTACAGGTAGGCTTTTTTTTTTTTTTTTTTTTTTTGTCTTTTTCCTTTTTTATCGGTACCAGGGGTTGAACTCACGACTGCCTGCTTGCAAAGCAGGTGCTTATGCCGCTGAGCTAAACCTCCAGCTCCTACAGGTAGGCTTTCTAAATAAATTATACTCCCAGGTACTAATCTCCAAGGTCAGTATAGCAGTTCTGACAGCTTTCTCTGGAGCTGGTATGTTTTAAGTACTTTCTTTCTTTCTTTCGTTTCTTTCTCTTTTTTCTTTTCTACTTCCTCCTCCTCCTCCTCCTCCACCTTCTCTTTTTTGGTTTGTTTTTGTTTTTGTTGTTTTTTGAGACTTACTGGGTAGTTCAGGCTGACCTTGAACTCCTAGTGTAACCCAGGCTCACCTCAAACTCACTTTGTTCCTCCTGCCTTAGCTGGGATTACAGGCATGCACAATGACATCTGGTTTGTTTGTCATGGTGGCTAGATGAAGAATGAATTAATTTCCTTTTCTTCTTTCTAGAGGTCTTCTTCATTCTTTGTTCTGATCCATGTTTAATAGGAAGTTATGTAGTCAGCTTTTCATAAGAGCATAGGAAGAATAAGGGATTGGGGAGATGATCCTTTGTGAATCTTACAGTGAATCTTATCCTTTGTGACCCTTCTACAGAATTTTGGCATCTTCTAATTTGCATTATGATGTAATGTTTGAACTAAGCAGTAGATAAGTGTCAAGAAATGCATGGACCATATTATGAAATGGTATGGGAACTTAGATATATTTTCTGTTTGACTTTCTTCCTAGCTTCTCTTTAATACCCAGTTTGAGTTTGTCTGAGAATTAAGAATCAGTGTTTGGTGCAAGAGATGATGATATGGTGAGGGTGGAAAGAGAAGGAAAAGAGAGGTGTAAAAGGAAAGAGAGAAATATCTTTGTTATTAATGTAATGGTATGTGATTTTGTCTTAGCATTTGTGACTATAATGGGGCAATAGCCAGTGAGTAATTGAGAGTTGTTAGCCATTACCTAATTGTAATAATAGTGATGCAGGAATTGTTAAAGTTTCTGTTAAAGCCAGAAATTCTGATTAAAGAGAATATCATAAACAAGGCTAAAAAAAAACTGCAGTAAAGAGAGAATAACATTTTAGTACACCTGTGTACTAAAAATACTTTATTAAAGAATCATCTGGTAAGAATTTTACTATCAGAAGGTTTTGAAGCTTTTTGGGACTGAGCAGCTTTTGGTTACCAATTATAACGATACAAATTATAAAGAAACTGTGTTAGAAACTAAAAACTTTTTTTTTTTTGGTGGGGTTTGTTTGTTTGCTTGCTTGCTTGTTTTTGAGAATAGGATCTTGCTATGCAGTTCAGGCTGACCTTGAACATACTAGTAGCTCAGGCTGGCCCCAATTGTAGGCAGTCTCCCTGCCTCAGCTTCCCGAGTGCTGAGATAACAGGTGATTGCCACCACACCTGGCTAAAGAATATAATTTTAATGTTATCATAAAAGCCAAAATTGTTAATTCACTTCCTGTATTGGTTAATCTGGCTAATTGAGATTCAAACCTGCTGACAGTGTAATAAGACTATCAGTATTCCATTTTAAAGCTATTCTATTTTAAAGCTTTTAATAAATTATCACATTGTAAATACTTACTGACTGTCTGCTTAATAACTTTGGGTTGATTTTAGGCCACAAACAAAATGGAAATGAAAGAAATTTCTAAACAGAAGACATTATGGAAAATGAGCTCTACCGGCAAATCTTTACCATTTACTGGTGGAGAAGTGAGTCCTTTGAAGAAATTCACAATTCCAAAGATCAGGAAGACATCTGCAAAAGGTAAAATTTTTATGGAAGACGAGAGTTTTGTTTTGTTTCGTTTTGGTCCCAGGAATCAAACTTGGGGCCTCATACTTAAAAGGCAGGCACTGTGTACCTGAGATTATTTAATCTGCATCCCATGAGTTTTAAAGCAACTGTTGTTTTAGTGTTCTTCTGATTTTTTTTTTTTTTTCCTGAGACAGAGTTTCGCTGTGTAGTTCAGGCTTCCTTGAACTCACTATATAGTCCAAGGCTGGCCTTGAACTCACCATGATTCTCCTGCGTCGGTCTCCTGAGTTACAGGAGATTACAGGCATGCACTAACATGCCTGGCTGTTTTTCTGATTCTTAATGTTTATCTCCTATTTTGACTACATGAAATTTGGTTAAGTTGTGTTTCTTAATTCCTTAAACACATATGTGCTTCTCTTACTGCACAAGGTAGAATAGATACCTGTATACCTGTGTAGAAGTAGTTTACTTCTATCCCTCCCAGTAAGTACACTAAAAGCTCGGGGAATTATATGTAAAACATATGTAAGAAGACTTTCAAAGTGAAGAGGAGACATTGAACCAGCTGATAAATGCAGAACTTTGAGGAATAATGTTCCAGTTCTCCAGATTTTCTTTTTCTTCAGTATTTCAGACTAGATGCCTACGACTGAGAAATACCAACTAGCACAGATCCCCCCAAATCTGTGTGCCTGAGCCTGCATGCACATCCATGTATGCTTGTGCACACATAGACACACAGCTCTAAAAAAATCCTGTCTTATTTGGCCAAAGAATAGATGGGAGTAGCCTAGGAAGATAGAAACCTCACTCCTCAATACATAGGTTGGCGGACACTTGCATCTTGCATTTATCAGCAAATTTTATGTGAAAGAGATGTTGGCATGTGTGTGCAGCTCTACACTCCACAAGTGTAGTATCAGGGGAAGCCAAGTGGGGAGCCCTAAGTGCTAGTATCTCTCCCTCTTCCCCTTACTCCCCACCAGTGGTGACCAAATATGGAGCCTAGACTTTTACCACTGCATAGGAGCAACATATTCTTATCTCTGCCATCCACTGCCCTGAAGTATTTGTGGATTTTCATCTCTATGGGGATCATTTGCCCCTTCCCATTAGAATTGAGTCACTGAGGCAGCATCAAGTGCAGCATCAAGACTTTTCACCAAGCCCAGAACTAACAAGGAATCTATCGACTATCAGGAAGACAGTGGATGCTGTAAGGCCCAAACTTCCACCTATTGTAATGTTAACACATTGTCCCCCAGGGTGTCAGTAAATGCTCTGTGGAGAGCAAGGACTTCAGTCCTGCTGTGGGTGGTCAAGAGTTAGTGTTCCTCTTCCACTGTAAGCATGGTTTTAGTTAAAGGGGTGCTAAAATGTAAGATACAAAGTATGATCCAAAATCTCAAAACAATACCTAGAATGTCCAAAATACACCAAAAATCATTCATCTTGTCCCTCGCCAGGAAATCCTCAATCTGAATGAGAAAAAATACTCACTAGATACTAATGCTGAAGTGGCACTAGTGGTAGCATTATATGACAGTCTTTGAAAGCAGCCATTATAAAGATGTACGAACAAGCAATTACATTCTGCTAAAAAAAAATTGGCTCAATAATTAATATTATTTTAAAACACAAAGCACTAAACTCAGATTTATTTCTGGTAAATACTGCCAAAAATTAAGGAAAAAATCATACCATTTGTCTATAATCTCTTTCAAAAGATAAAGGCAGAGGGAGTATGTCTTAATTATATGAAGCTGGTACCACTGTAATATCAAAAACAAGATAAAGACATTTCAGGGAAAGAAAGCTGCAGATCAGTATCTATTATGAAAATAGATGTACAAATTCTCAAGAAAATATTAGGAAATCAGATCCAAAAGTGTATAAAAAGAATTTTATACCACTGCAAGTGGGATTTATCCCAGCATTTGAAAATCAGTTACTGTAATCTGTCATATAAATAAGCTAAAGAAAAATATGGTTATAGCAGTGGATGCAAAAAAAAAAACATTTGACAAAATCCAATACCCACTTATGACAAAATTCTCAGTAAACTAGAAATAGACTGCAGTTTCCTCAAGTTGGTGATAAATACAAGTTGACCATCCCACAAATCTGAAATCTAAATTCATATTTTTGAACAGGGATACTCAAGTGATAATGTACATACTCCAAAATTTGAAAAAGCCTGAAATGCTGTGGTTTCAATCATTAAGGATAAAGGATATTCTACATATATCTACAAAAAGCATACAAACAACCTCATACTTAACTAGTGAGAAAGTTGAAGCTTTCGCAGTCAGATGAAAGGAAGAATATCTTCTCTCACTACTGCTTTTCAACTTAGTTCTGGAAGTTAAGGAAATAAAAGTATATAGATACAAAGGGAAGAAATAAATCTGTCCTTATTCATAAACAACATGATCATCTCAGTAGAAAATCCAAAAGAATCAAACATATCAAAGAGAATAAAATATTCTCCTGATATTCCTAAGTAATTATAAGTGGAATTTGAAATTTAAAACACAATAGCATTTAAATTAATACTAAAAATGAAATACCTAGATTTAAATATAACAACATACATTACATGATTTATATGAGAAAAACTATAGAATCTGTATGAAAGAAATCACAGAAAAGGCCACTGGAGAGATTATATGTTCATAGATAGATTCAGTATTGTCAAAATGTCTGTTTCTACTGTTGACTTACAGTTTCATTATAATCCCAGTGACAATCCTATTATTTTGTGAATCAGCAAACCAATTTTAAAGTTTTTAGAGAGAAGCAAAAAAATTCAAATAACACAATCAGTATTGAAAGAAGAGAAAACGACACTACTTCTAGACATACAATAAAGCTACATTAATGTAAGGCAGGCTCACATAGATACAAGCTTACCTCTGACAGAGGAGCAAAAGCAATATAGTGGTGAAGGTAATCTTTTCAGCAGATGGTGCTGGACTACTGTAATTGGACTTTCACTGCAGAAGAATGAATCCAGACACAGCTTATACCCATCACAAAAGTGAACTCAAAATGAATTACAAATCTAAACGTAAAGTGCAAAACTCTAAAACTCACAAAAACTTAGAAAATTCTAGATGACATTGAGTTTGGCAGTGACTTTTAGTTGCCACACCAAAGGCATAATATGTGGAAAGAACTGTTGATTCGCTGGACTTTTTAAAAATTCAGTATTTTGCTGAACATAGTGGACACGCCTATAATCCCAACACTGTGAGACTGAGGCAAGAGGATCACACATTCAAGCCAAGCCTGGGCAACTTAACAACTTGGCCAGACCCTGTTCAAAAAGAAAAAAAAAAGTAAAAATGGCAGAGCCATTTACTTTTTTGATGAATGTAAGGTCTGTATCTAGATTTATTTTTATTGTAGCTCAGTGTAAAGGCCCTAAGTTCAGTCCTTAGTAACACATCAAAAAAATTTAAGTCTTGCTTTGCAGAAGATACTGCCAAGACCTGGATAGCAAGACAGGAATAAGTCAGATTTTTTTCAAATGGCTGGGGCTGTAGCTCAATGATAGAATGCTTGCTAACATGCACAAGGCCATAGGTTCAATCCCCAGCATCATCAAAAACAAACAGAAAAAAACTAAAGAATGAAAACAATCCATAGACTTAGAGAACTTATTTGCAAAATAGATAAAGAACTGTTAATTAAAATATGCAACAACAACAAAAAAATACTCTTTAAAGTGCGACAAAACAAAACCAATTAAAAAGTGGCTGCCCAGGCATAGTGATGTATGCCTATAATCGCAGCACTCAAGGGTGAATGAGGAGAATAATTGAGTTCAAGACCAACTTGGGCTACATAGTGAACTCAAGACCAGCTTGAATCACACACTGAGACCCTGTTTCAAAACAAAACAAAACAAAAAATGGACTGAAGACCCTAAGACTTTTAACCACATAGAGCAAAGAGATGCAAATAAGCAATTAAAAGATGTTCTGCATCGTAAGTCATCACAGAAATGGAAATTAAAACAATGTGATACCACAGTACACTTACTAAAAAGAGCAAAATCCAAAACATTAAGGACGCCAAATGCTGCTGAGAATGTGGAGCAGTAAGAAGTCTCTTTTATTGTTGGAGGGGATATAAAGTGATACTGCTAGTTTCAGAAGACATTTGGCAGTTTATTATAAAATTAAATGCACAGTTAACATATGCTATTGCAGTCATGCTGCTTGGTATTTACCCACATCAGCTGAAAACTTATGTCCACACAAAAACCCATGTATGGATGTTTATATCAACTTCAGTTGTCATTGCCAAAACTTAAAAATCACTGAAATGTCTTTGGTACATGAGTAAAGTGATATCTTCAACAATGGAGTGTTACTTAGTCCTGAAACAAATGAGTTATCAAGCTTAGAAAGGAAATGGAGGAATCTTAAATGCAAATTACTAAATTTAAGCAGTCAGTCTGAAAAAGCTACAAGCTGTGATTCCACCTGTTTGGCAGACTGGAAGAGTAAAACTATGAAGAGAGTAAATGATCAGAATTGCCAGCGTTTGGGGCAGCAAAAGAGAAGAATAAATGGAGCAAGGGGGGATACTTCTTAGTAAAACTACTTTGTGTGATGCTGTACTTGTGATTATAGATTTATCAAAAGTGTGAAGGTGCAACTGCAAGAGTGAACATTAATGTAAACTATATAGACCGGTGGTGACAAACCTGTGGCATGCATCCAGCATTGCAGCCAGCTGTTTGTTATTGTTGAAAGCTCTAAAAAGGTCAACATCACTGGTGCAGACTCTTACTTATAATTACATAACAATATAGGCTTATCATTTGTAGCAAATATGGCACTCTATTGAGGGGTGTTGGTAATGAGGAAGGGTAGTTGGGTAGGGACATAGAGTATATGGGGAATGTCTGTACCTTTCAGGTTTTGCTGTGAATGAAAATTCTCTAAAAATAGTCTGTCACAAGAGAAAAAACACTCATTGGATAAGGTCGAGGA